CAGTCATGTAGTATAGGCTTTCTTGTCTCTGGGTTTGATGATACGAAAGACAGATTAAGGTAGTTATATTGTGCTGGAAGAAGCTTCTCAACATGCAGACGCTACCCCCAGTGTGTGCAGAGATTCCCATACATATCATTTGTGTAAACTGTCTTCTCTAACCAGACCTGGAAGTCTGTTGTTTACTGCATCTGAAGGGTGTTGCATCACTTACCCTAACAGCAGGAGTTTCACAAGTCCAAAGGCTTCTTTTAAGGTTTCAGGAGTACCACCGAGCACAGGTAAATTGAATTTATGAGTGGCCTTGACGAAATTTAAAAAGATTGACGAAGAATTGCAATGGTAGTAGGAGGCAACACTGATTAAAGTAGCAGCTTATTACAGAACTTAGTGCTTTTCAACCTGGGTGGAAAGTCCACCTTAAAGTGGATGATATTTCATGAGAGGTGGACGAGGCATGCCCGTCTGGCAGGATAAAATTATAGCTTTGAGATCTTATCTTGAGATTATTTAAAAATAAAAATAAATTTGTATATTATCAGTGGCGCCCCCGAAGGGCGCCTGCATTTTAATGTTCTCCAAAACTAAAAACGAATTTATGATTATACCATTTTTTTACGTAATTTTTGGGTACCAGGTATGTGCCTGAGAAGCCCCAAAGCAAAGGTCTCTCATACACAGCCACTAGTCAAAATAATGTCTGAGATCCGAGAGCAGAGCGGGCAGCTTTTACCAAATCATGCTAGGGGTGGACGCCATCAGAAGGTTGAAGAGCACCGTCGTAACCTACATCTGGTTATTGGCTGTCGTGCAAATTGTTTTAGCCTTTTGGCAGATTCAAGGGAAAGTTCAATGACTATCTTTGGAAATAGTATTAAACAATATATATATAAACATAGCAGATCTAAGGGGAAACATTTACCGCAGTGTGGGGAATAGAATAACTCGCTTTTTCATGGCAGATCCTTTTCCAGAGTATGAGATGCATTGAGTGCAGAAATATTGTCTTGTTCTTACAGAGATATTAAGGTGGATCTGCCGTGGCAATCCACACACATCTTCGTTTATCTATGTATATATGGTACATGTAAATAAACACGTGTGCAGTGTTCAAACGCATGCGCGTGTGTGGGTGATATGTACATACAGACTTCCAAAGCAGACGAGCACCAGCACCAAGTAGGACAATTCCCTTCCACTGTTTAATGCCAACTTGTTCCTTGCACCGCAGGTCACTCCGCCTGAGGAGTGCGGATCCGAAGCCTCCGTACCTTCTATCCAGCTCCAAGGCACCATTGTCTGACCACCGCCATCGCCTCGACCGGCGCGGGTTTGGTTCCACATGGGCGGCGTTCGCGGCTACTCGCCCAGCCGCACGCAGAGACTCTGACAGCCAGCGGCCTCCCGCCCTGCGCGCCGCTCGTCTCTCGGGCCGCTGTCGTGGCCGCAGGCGCAGTAACGGGGGGAGGCCGAGGAAAGGGAAGCGGTCGCGTTGACCCTCAGTCGTTTTTCGATTTCGAAAATCTAAAATGCCTCCGGTGATGTTCTAAGTGCTTTGTTCCGATTGCATTTCTCTTTGACAATATCCAAGGTTTTGGGGCATTGGGTACAAACGTAGGGTGAGGTCAGTTTTTTAGTGAATTACGCATATTACAAATCGCTTTGCTTGTGTGAGTGAATGGAAGTGACGAGAAGAAAAGTGCGGATTCAGATATTATTTTTGTTTAGATTTAAGTCCTTGAAACACAAATGACTTTAGAATTTGAATGTAAGGATATATGATTGCCAACACGACGGACTTTACCTTCTGTGAAGGGTTATTGCGCCCTACATCGTGATAGCCACAAAGCTCCTTGTTTCACTGTGAGCCTCTCGTGTTTGGTGCTCTGAGACTCTGTGGCTCATATGATGATCCAAGTTGTTGTTTTTGGAAAAGAAAATGAGACTCGAAGAATTCTGCTTCTGAACGATATGATCAAAATGATTCGTGAAATCCAATTTTCTGAGAATATAGCAAACGATATGCGAACAAAGACCCAGTGTTTGTTATATAAGCTCAACTACGTTTTCCTTGCGAAGTTAGAACATGAACTGAACATTTAACTGATGTGTTTATCAAAGCTGTACCTTTCCTTTCCCCGCTTTATTTACCGTTGGATTCTTTCGGAACGCCTTTCAGTTCCACGTCAGCACACTTGTTGGTATTCCAGACGAGCAATATCTTTCAGCCACGTTCAAGAGAGGCTTTATCCCCCAGGCCCCACGTGGCATTTGAGTTCATAACAATCAGATTTTACTCTCACCCTCACTCTGAGTTTATGAATATAACTTAC